CTGCACCGAGCTACCGGCCGGTTCATCTAGACCGGTCCGAACGAGCCCGGGTGGTTCATGAATTTCTGGTTCGAGTTCTAAGCAAGCTTAAACTTAAGCATTTTTTCGTGCCGTGTCAGTCTAAGTTTAAGTCAGAAAATTAGTTCCGGACCTAAAAAATTATCCAAGAACCTTAGGCACCGTCAAGATAAAAATTGTTTACCTTAGCTCGTTAATATCTTAATTTCAACAAGCCGTTAAAGTTAGACAAGAATATGAGATTTGAATGTTTTCAAAATCGAGCGAGCGAGCGAACTACTAAGTAAGATCAGTTATTAAAGAACAGAGTTTTCAATTTGAGTTGAGTACTTAGAATATATTTTCTTAAATATTTTGTAGCTTAAGGAGAGTCGATCCTCCGCCAGCTACCCGTTTCAGTTCCAGCACTTGCATTTATCAGCTATCAGGTGGGGACCCTGTACTGGGTAATTCATTGTCTATAATCGCTTACCATGTCTGAGGTATGTATGTAAGAGATTTTGCCCAAGGGCAACGACCTACAAGTAGGTCCTTGCAGCTACTTATCGCCTAGGTTGGGAGGCCAATGTCACCATCCAGGTTCCAGTGGCGGCCAATGCCATTAGTGTTCCACGGAGTGTGCACATGATTTCTCATACAAGTCCAGATGTTAGTAGTTTGCATCAGCATCATAACAGTTAGTTGTATATATGCTTATTTCATGATAGATTATCATGGTTGATGTGTATTCAGTATCGGTTTCTGCGGAGCACGTGGACATTATGCTCACGCCCCCACTTTCTATTTTTTTAGGTGATGGAGTGCAGCGTGGCGCGTGAGCAAGTATGTGGTGGTGGTCTAAACTAGTAGATAATTTTGATGATCATGTTTGTGAACTTAGTATTTTGAACATGTATTCGACCAAGGTCGTAATCAAGAGACATTAAACTATGCATGTTTAATTCAAGTATTTCTTATGGCACCTTACCTCGAGGATAGACTTGATTTGGTCACATGTATGATTATTTAAATGTCTTTAAAAAGAAAGAGAAATAGTAAGTGAGTAAGTTAGTAGCATCCCGCGAGAAAGATAAAGTGTTTTCGAAAAATGAGTAAAAGCTTTTGAAAACTTAATAAGTGCTTTCAGAAATAAAAAAGCAAAAATGTTACTCTGATTTTATTAAGTCCAGTAATAGTAGGCGGGGTATTACACCAACCACCTCCATGCCGACACCTACACAAGGCAGACGACACCACAACCTATCCCCACAAAAACACCGAAGCCCGCCTCGCCTCAACGCCATGGAGTCCGACGACCCTCGACCCGAGAAGGCAGCCAAGAAGACACGAGATCCCGTCGAGCACGGCCAACCAATCTCCAATGCCCGAAAAAGACATGCCAACACAATTTGGGGCCGAGTCGAGCAAGTAGGGGCTATCCATAGTTAGAGATGTTAAATGGGTTAGCCCTAACGGTTTCGGGCTAGCCCTAGCGGGCTTCGGGCTAAACAATTTAAACGGACTAACAATAAAGGGTCCTAACCCCAATCCTAGCAGGCTTCGGGCTAAACGGACTATAATAATAATAATAATATCCAAAAAATAATAATAAAAAGATATATATAAAAAAATACAACGGTTAGTTAACGATTGTTTTCAACGACTATTTAATATTTACCGCTCTATATATACAACTACTAGTCATATATGAACACACATTACAATATTGTTCATAATCATCTTTCAAAATCATAATAATCAAGTACAACTCATACTTATATGTGAAGTGGAATAGCAAAATTGTAATATACAAGGAATCTATGAAACATATACTTACTTGAGGCTAATATTTACACCGCCCAACCATTGTTAAACGGGTCAGCCCTAGCGGGTTTCGGGCAAGCCCTAGCAAGCTTCGGGCTAAACGGTTTGGGCTTAAAAAGTTCTGATTTAAACAGGCTACCAATAAAGAGCCATAACCTTATTTTTTTGGGGGCTAAACGGATCGACCCGTCGGGCCAAGGACCATTTAACATCTCTAGCCACCATCAAGGAGCCCAGCGGACCCGCCTCGGAAGGCAGATGGAAAGAATTAGGGCGCGGCTAGAATTAGGTTTTGTTTGGGGTTTT